AGATTTAGCCAGTTTTTAGTAGTCATGCGCTTAGCGCATTTATTCGTGAGAAATACTTGACGAATGTTCTAGAAGAATTTAAATTACAAATAGGCACCAAATAAGATGGCCTTCACAACCTACAAAGTTTTATTAACATTTATTCAACCGTTCTGTACCAATTTATAATTTCGCCCTGTTTTTCGAAAACGAAGTTTTTGCGGGCTCATGAATGTTCGAATTTTTTTCATATTTGGGCAAAGTCGGGTTTTCCCTGAATACACGGTACTTTTTCTGAGACTTTCTGAGAGGTGAAATTTCCAGCATGGCATTTTCTCAAATCGGTATATTCGTATTTTAAACTGCTACAGAATTTTTTACTGCTACTAGCGGCATTAATTTAATTTCTTCCATGCAGCGATGAATCTGATGTAATTTCAGTACAAGTTTCGAATTCTTCAATGTATATCCCCTTATTTTAACGCTTTCTTCCTCCAAAAATGTCTTTATTGTTTGGTAAGCAATCAGGTATTCGGAGCTCACGCGAGTTTTCCAAAATTCTATGTTTCGTCAATGCGAGAACCTTTTTGTGCGTCCACTTAGATTTGCCATGAAGCATTAACTTCATTAGTTTTTGCAAAAATGTCGCTTAAATAGGGAATTTTCAGCAACTAAATAATCCACTTTTCAATTCGAAATTGTGCCCTAAAAATCTGTAGTCGTTCAGCTCAAAAATGTTGTTATGCAAGTTGTGGAAAACGTTATGAAAAACGATGTAATTTTCGTGGAACTCTTAAAAGATTTTCGCACAACCCTATTCGAACATTACTATTGAGTTTTCCAGTTGAGTCATTTGCCCACTTTGGTTTTAGAACAATTATTATGTGAACTGTGAGCAGCGGCATTGGCAGTGGATAGCTAGTAGTTTAATTAACAATGCGAAATAAAATAAATAAATAAGGAGCACGGATGGAAAACAAGTAATGGGTGGTCCAAAGCCCACCTTTCAATTATAAAATTCAATTACACCTCCCGACAATAATTCCCCCCTAATCCCAGCCGTACCGAAATAAAGCAGTAAACAAGAAGAAGAGGTTAATAGGGCCGAATCTCACGTCATGACGCAGATAGGAGAAACATAATCCAATCCGCTTGCCACAATAGGGACAATACGAAATCATATAATTCTCGTGACAGATTTATGTGATGCCCTTGTAAGATTTTCCATTAACGGTAACACCCCGAGTGGTGTAAATAACGTTTTATGAAGTTGGGGCACGCAGGAATTTTCCGCCACTATTCGGCAATTATTCACCCAAATCAGCGAAAACATACGAAGGCGGAATGGAAAAGTGGAAACTGACCATCAAGGTAAGCAATAACGAATCTCCTTCACCGCTCTAATTTATCGGCATATGCAAATATACCAATTAGTTAATTATTGTTATTGACAATTCGCGTGCGTCGGACCTTTAGTGGACGGTTCCGATATAAATAAAATCGGTCGTAACATCAGTGGCTTCTGCTGCGCCACCGACCTTTAATATGTCCATCATCGGAAAAAAAAGTGGGGCTCCGGTTTTTCAGCATTATGAATGGCCGTGGCGGCCCACTTTGGAGCAAACCAAGTAGCGTGATTCTTCCGAAGAAAAGCCCCATCACGCAACCCGAAGAAAACGAACAAAAATTGAGCGAAATCCATGAAATAAGTTGCACGCGTGTTTCATAAATACCACCGATGTTCCATGTGTTTTAAAGTGTAATTTATTTAATGGGAATGCGTTTTGCGTTGGCGCAAATATGATTCATATAGGCGTCAATGAGAAAATGGATTGGAACTGAATGAAAATTCTGACTTCCAATTTAACACCACATCACCAATGCACTTCATTTATTGAAGAGTATTAAGAACCTTCTACCACCTTCGACTGTACTTAAGAAGGATAACCTCCCCGTAAATTCAAAGCTCCAACCGATCAATACCAAAGTCCAATCTTCAACCTTGAACAAAAACACTTCTTAATGTGTACTACCAAGTCCATAGAAGATCAAGTTGCAGCCCCAAATTCAACACTTTCCACTGATCAAACCCCTTCCAAATCCTTGATTTTTATGACCCTGTTGAAACTTTCATAACCAACTTTACAAAAACTCAACATTCTACTGGAACAATCCTCAATAGAGCTGCAACAATTTTCCAGACTCTCCGGCTCCTAAGGTGTCCAAGATGTGAATGTGGAAGGCTCGAAACTGGAACACACTGTATACAGATAATGAACTGATCGACGATAGCAAAAGTATAAAAACTCGTCCTGAGCCTAATGCCTGAGTTGTTAATAAGGCTTTATTAATAACGTCGTTGTTATCACCAAATACAGAACTATTAATATTCATCGTTCCATCAGCATCTGCAGCAGAGAGGAGCAAGCAGGAAAGCAGGCAACGTCAGTGTAGAAGCAGCAAAGAAATATTCGCCTTGTCTAGCTAATTGGCCGGGTCCATGTCTCGACGTGAATTAATTAATTTTCGGGGGCCTTAATTCGAATTTGAGTCTCGGGCCGGCGTTTTGTTAATTCCGTTTCCCGTTAATCGCTCGGACAGTTCCGGATTTCGTTTACGCCTCGACCGTTTATTTACTTTAAATTTAATTGTAAATAAATCTGCGTCCGTTTTTGTTTGCTTCATCTGCGGTTTTCGGCTTTCAAGTCGCCCAAAAATATACACTTCTAAATGTTTTTGATTGAGTTACAGAAAGAAGGAGGACACGTTAAGCTGTAGATCTGAAATTTACCTAACAAGATCCAAAAGTTGCCTAAATAATTAGTTGGAAATAATAAGTTTTAAACAAATTTAAGCTTGAGCTTTGTTATTTAACTAATATCCACAAATTTCAGTTTTTCATCACTTAAATCAATCAATCATCATCAACCTTGTGGTGGACCGTCAATGACAAGAGAAGTCTACTCGAGAATCGTTCTGAATTATATGTTGAATTTTATGAAACTCCACCACTGCGCCTTTGTAACATAATATCTGTACAAGAACAGATTGAGTTTAATTATTTCACTGTACTTACTGGGTGCCCAAATAGGTAATTTCAATAATTTCCAGCTAATTCCTTATGACTCAGGATACCTTAATTGCAATCTAAACCAATTCCATGAAAAAGTCATAGAATTAGTTGAGACACAGAATATACCGACACAAAAGTATACGATGTTATAGTTTCATGTATTCTGAGCAATTTGGATCTTAATTGCTTGTTTATTTTGAGCCATTCGATAGATATGAATTTTTTGTGGCCGGTCAGATTTTTCGCTCGAAATGTATTTAAACCATTTTTTTTAATTCGAAGAAGACTGTGCAAACAAATTTTTTATACAAGCTTACAGTTGCCAACCTCAGATTATTTTGTTACTTTTTGTGTAAACCCATAAAGAAGCAAAACAAAAAACAATATTTTTAGGCATAAAAACAAGAATATCTTATCCTTAGAAAAATCAGAAATATTTGCAACTTAATCCCCATTAAACAGAGCTATCAACTTGTAATGCAGTGGTTGGCAGGCTTTTTGCCAGATAATTTCTTCGAAAGTAAAAAAAGTTAAGTAAATTTTGCGCGGAAAATGCGACCGGTCCTAAAACTTAATATTTTCCGTCCTGTTTGCGAAACATCGATGTAATTCGTTCGATATTTTTACCATCGATGTTGGAAATTTGAGACATCGTTAAAACATAGATGTTAGATCTTGAAATGTAAACATCGGACATTTGATGTTGATACGAGATAGAAACATTTTCTGCAAACTCTTTGATAGTGCTGATGCAAACGATAGCGCGGGATAGCGGCCCATTTCCAGCTGCACCCGAAAAAAGCCTCTTTTTGCAGTCAGTTGACCGAAAAATGTGGCAACTATGAGTTGAATAAATTTAGTCGATTATCTAATGTCATAGTAGTAGTAAAATAAGATTATTGAAGTTCAAGTTAATTAATTTGAAATTTGTATGCAACGGCAAAGTATCAGAACAACGATGTTGTCAAACATCGATGTTCTCCCTTCGATGTTTCCCTAACATCGATATTACCTTTCGTTGTCAATGTCGATGGCTACCATCGATGTTATATGATCAATGTCCCATCCCTAGCTCAGCGTAAACAGATGACTTAAATTACAAATTAATCAGAGGACACGGGGCTAAAACATCGTATACTTTTTTGCTCTCTGGGACACCCCATATTGACCACAAAAATATGAGAGTATTTAAACTCCCTGTACAATATGTTTATGTAATGGGATTAATAGAGGAATGGAGCTTGGGTTGGAGAAAAAATAGTTCAAACTGAATCACCTGCTGAGAAAACATTCACAGCCAAAAGTTATTTATAGTGGTATTTTACCCGGTATAAAGATTTCCGCCCCTACGTGAGCACAAATGAGCTCACGTGAGTGTAGGTTTGATTAACTTACATCTTGTACATTATTCAATCAAAAGTCAGTTTGTGAAACTGTTGGAACGTTAACACGCAAATCGGCATTTAAATGGCTGCAGAACAAATGCGAACAAATATTGACAAATGCAGAATAACGTTCTGGATAGCTGGATATTTATCACGGCATCACAGGGATTCAAATCGCAGGATTTAGACCTGATCCTGGCTTAGTGACGACCATGATTTGTAACGCCGGATGAATCGCGACATTCTGTTCCGTGCCGTCGCATTTTTACCATTGCTAATCGAGGGGGTTTGATGAACTGGCTCGGTAGGGTTGAGGGTTGTGTTGGTGGCACTGCAATTAGAGTCGCACAATTTCGTGATTTATGCCCGATAGGATTTTCTTGATGGAAATTAATGGTCGAATTTGGAGGCTTTCGGTGGAGGAATTTCTTGGCGCTGCCACATTTTTTACACCTAATTGTACCGCAACCTGTTGCTAGGACTTAAGAACTTAAGTCTGCAATCAACTGCGCAAATTTTTCCTTAAACAGTTTCCGTTTTTATGTAAACAGTTCCGCACTTACCGTTCGAGATGTTTTACTATGTCTTCATAAGCTGCCCGGCAATTTTCCCATATTCCTGATCTGAAAAGGCAAAGAAAAACATTATAAAAGTACATACACAAACATTGTTTTAACATTACATGTATGGAGAAACAAAACTTTATTTCTTTGGTAAAAATATACATATAAAAACGAACTTTTCTTTAATTATTGTTTAATAACTGAAAGTATTAAATTACTTTGTAAAAACAGTTTTTTCTCAATCTCGGTTATACAGAAAAGCCAAGAGAAAAATCAATTAAACGAACTTAGACCCCACTAACCCAGTGGGAAAATGATATTCAAAGGCACTACAAGATCAACACCTTCAGGGGTTGTAGGAAATAGTGCCAACATGGATTAAAAGTGAGAATGCAATAAATAATCCACGAAATATCCAACTATTCTTTCAACAAAATAAGTATAGAACGCTTTTGAGGATTTTCATGAGATATTAAAATTTATTATCAGATGAAGTCAAATTTACACATTTCATACCACATAATGCATATGATGCTATATCTGCTATTCAAACTTCTTTGATAGTGAAGACGTGAAACGTGAAGAGAATGAGAATAAATCGTTTTTGTTGAGAGAATCATGAACACACTTTAAAAAAATTTGTGATAAAATGAACAAGATCCAAGTATCAATTTGAGTCTCATTCTGAAACAGCCACTGGGCGATACAAATGAGTTTATTATATTGCAAAAATACTAAGAATATTCAAAACAGCTACACAAGTTCAGCAGATCGCAAAATAACAAGACGAAAGCCACATGTTCCAACTCTTTATACGCGTTGTATAGATGAAGATTTGTTGTGGCTGTATCAAAATAATTCAAAATATTATCAAAGATCACTTTCCTTTGCCATAAACAGAATACATACTAGATAGACTGCAGGAAGCTACATAATTTAGCACAATTGACAAAAGAACGGATGTTTTCATATTGAAGATCCGATGAGATGAAAAAACACTTCGTTTGCAACAGCGACTGGTCAGTTTGAAGAGTTTCCCCCAAAAGTGAATGATAAGAATGTGTGTCGAGAAGAATTCTTAAGAAGCGGTTTGAGTTCCAAAGATTTACTAATGAAGATGGCAAAGTTCAACCTTCCAATGTAATGGTTCATAAAACCCACAAACATTTAAAAACTGGACTTTTTGTTAGGCTTTTGGGACGAGAGCCTCTTTGAGATGTTTTTAATGAAGCCTCATAATTTTTATTGAGTTGCTAAAAGAAAGGTCAAAATACTGGGTAGACAGCTTACGAAAATAAATCTTAACTCTCTTCAAAAACATAATGGCAGATCAAAGAGTACCAAATGAATGGAAGTGCAGCATAACCATATATTTATTCACAAAGGGCCAAAAAACAATTCCGGATAATTAACGTAGAAAACCGCTTCTCAACAGCATCCTCAAAGTCTTCACAACTACAATGTTAGAGGAAATACGCGAAACTATAAAAATCCGCGAACAAGATTTTTGAAAAACTGGTTCTACCATTGATGATATTTCCATGGTGAAACAAAGAACAGAAAAATATTTAGGGTTCCACATCATCTATTAAGTGAAAAGGTGCAAATACGCACAGGAATAAGACAAGGCGACTCATTTGGTCCATTTGCATTCAACACGATTCCAGATGGAGAAAATAGTCGGAAATCTACATAAAACAGCAGGATGGAAATGGGAAACACGTACTTCAATGTTTTCTGCTACGCAGATGATACAGTACTCATTGCGCGAGAGATTGGAGAACTGGAGAAAATTGTAGAACGAGTAAATCACCTCAAATATTTAGGAGCTAAAATGAAGTTATGGAAATCTATACAGTGTATCAGAGAACAAACTATGAAAACGTTTCGAATTTCAGGAAGCCTAAAAGACACTGTGTGGAAAAATTAATATCTGAACATAAACAATAAAATAAGAGTATATAAATCGACAAGCAAACTCGTCATAATGGAGGACATCACGATTTATGCGAAAGGTTGAAAGAAACGAAAGAAAAAGAAATAATATGTAATAACGGAAAAACACTACACGACAGAATCAGAAGCGAAAACCTTAGACAAACCTTAGACAAAGCGAGATACAGGACATAGAAAGGAGGGTAAAACAGAGAAGAAAACATTGGAAGAAACACGTAAACAGAATAGAAGACAACAGACTTGTGAAAATCGCAAAAACGACCCTGTTGGAAAACCAACCCAAAAGATCTCCAAAGCGCTGGAGAGAGTGCTGTTTATCAATCGTTCAATACAAAAAGAATTATACTTTTCGTCGGATTCAGGATGCACTTGGATTACCGAAAAGCCAATAAATTCTCCTCGCGCCCATTTAAAAGAGCGAATTGATGGTCTTCCAAGTTGCTTTCTTTCGTTCAGTTTTTCCAAAAATAAATAAGAACATCAAGAATCCTTCAGCATGATTTGATATGATCAACTGATGGATTAGAAGGATTTAGGTCACGGCTCCACCAAAAAAATTCGATTGCCTTGATTAGCCACATCCATTTCGCGAATAAATGGGACACCAAAAAGCAAAATCCTTCACTCGAAAAGACGTAGTGGCAACGGCACCCTATTAACGTCTTGAGGGCTCTCGGGGCCTCCCAAAGGGTTTAGACCGAAGGGGGTCGCCTACTAGTTGTTTACACTCGGAATCAGTCCGTCGTAGTCGTCATTATCATTTCAGCGCTGGTCTGGTAATTAAAATGCAAATCTCTTCGAATGAATGCGTGTACACGTCACGAGGAAGCGCCGTCATTAATTCTCCAGGTAGGCTGGGCGGCGAGTTTGCTTTGTTTTTCTTTAAATATTTCGGTTCTTCTTCAAAATCGTGCAGGTCCTATTGAAACAATGTGATTTCGATGCCTACACCAACGCGATTCGTTACTGTGTCTAATCTTAAAGTGCTGTTAATAATCGTCGAACAGATTTATTTTTTTTTGTATTGTAGTGGATTTCCTCAAGTCTGGTGACAAACTATTATTAATATACAGAAAGATAGAGAGTACCTACGGAAAAGCGTATAGAAAGCCATTGAAGTTTAATTTTCCAATAGTTTTTACCAACGGAAGAATCGAATTGATTCAAATTAAAACAAGATAAACGCATTTAAGCATGCATTACTCGAATAGCATTAAAACGTGTGTTAGCAGAAACTTTATCTGGTTGTCGTATTTAATCACCCCATTTAATCAATGTCATCGTTTGAACCAATTAACAAATTTTCCAAATGTGCTTCAAGAAATTTCAATTCAGCATTCGACGGTTATGGAAATGATAAATCAAACCCATCTGTTTCATCAGTCATGCCTTCTAGAAAAGTAGTTCAATGCTATGCAATTGTCGTTGCATTTAATGTGTTTTTATTTTTTTTTTTATTTAATCTATAGACAAACTAAGACAAGAGACCAAAAACCTATTGGCGAAAGACGAAATACATATAAGAGCTCGACCCAGAATGCAGAAGTTAACAACAACGTACGGACAGAAATTTAGGTCCTAGAAAACAAAAAAAAATAAAGACATAATTGAGCAAAATAAAAACATGGAAGTATTCGGCAGCAAATTTCACCCGATAAACGGATGATAAATTAGCTAAAAAATCGTGAAGGTATTGTAGTGAATGACAGAAAGAGCATAATTCAAGCTGTAAAAATGTCTACGTAAAATTCTATACATCGTCTGTTGGGGAACCAGTAAAAACCAAAAGGCATTTGTTCAAAATATAGAATCTGAGGACCTGCCGGAGAGGATAGAATAGCAGCCGAGATTGTAAAGCTGAGTTCAGATCCTTTGCTGCAAGCATTTGTTGTTTAGCAGATGCTTAGAATATCAACAGAATGGGAAAATTCAGAAGCAATTTATTATTTAAGAAACGCGATAACAAACTCCTGCTCTCACAAAAATTAAAACTGATCCCAAACATATTAACTAACCAACAGACTAACACTAAAATGTCAACTGTACCAGCCAGTGGAATAGGCAGGCTTTCTACGAGGTTTCAGCACATTAAATCATCTCCAGACAATGAAACTTCTTACACAAAAGACGAATATAACATATCAATACACTTGGCTTTTTCTGACTTTCATAAGGCATTCGACTCAATCTCTGACTCCGACTTTAGAAGAAGCTTTCAAAAGTTTAAATTGATAAAAAACCGACCTTTGCAATCTAAAAAATCTGGCAAGTGTTTCTCGCTTTCAGATTTTCTTCATTTGGAGTTTTGACCTGTTGGAATGTAAGTATTTCGAATGAAAACAGTTTGGGTTTCGCTAGTTTTGTTTGAAACTTGCGACTTTCTCGGGCTTTTCGGCCATCGTGAAAAACCTCGAAAAATTCACCAATTTGATGATTTCAATTGATTTTCTTCAGACGTCTTGCAAACGCAAAGAGATTCCTGCATCGACAAAACCGCTTCGGTCGATACCGCCCCTGAACTAATAATCTAGCGTCTAATCTGAACATGGAAACCTTAAGAAAATGTTAAACACTAGCGCCAGCTTCAATTGACTGAAACTCAGGCGATTATCAAATACTCTGCATAGAGACAAATTAAAGACGTGGTCACACAAAATCCAATTCATTAGTCGATGTCTCGATTGGCTCGGGTAGACTAATGGCATTAAGCCGTAGTTGCGAAGTTATAAATGCTGACGTTTATCCAAAAACAGCGGCGCATCGTCCACCTAATCCGCCCCCAACTTTTACGTGTCATAGTCGACGAACTGGCGGATTTAAGTTCAAAGATCTTGGGCGAAATCTCCCCAGTTGAAAGTAGTTTCAAGTTTATGCAATATTTAATGCGACAAACAGTTCGGGATTAGAAGGAAAATTAGTTTCTTGTGTGAGTGTGTCTTGGGCCTCGGCACTCGTAAGCGTCAACAAATAAAGACAAACCAATCCCTCAACGTGCAAGAGAAAGACTTACCTAGCGATTGCTTCCATGGTGGGCATTCCCTGATTTTTGATGATGGATCCGTCATGCCTGCTGAGATTGTGAGGCATTGCAGGCGATAACAGTGCCGAATGTGCAGCAGCTGGATGCGGTAGTTGCATGAACTGCATATGGCTCAAGTGAGGAGGATGATTGTACCCATTGGCGAGAAGAGGCGACTTTTCTAATCGGGCCATATCTGAAAGCACCCAAAAAAATCATCGTTAATCACTAGAAATTGCCGAGTTTTTGCCAACCCAAACAGAAAAAAAAACATCTGAATACTCCATTATTATTTATGTAATTGAATTTCAGCAATGAAACTTTCATAAATTATGTTTCTCAATTGGATTTTAATGGAATCGGGGCACACCTTCCGAAACAATAAATTATTTCTGGGTTTCGCTATCGATTTGATATTTAATTAAGTTTTTTATACAGCTACTGCTAACTCGTATAGGCACCAGGGCATTTCTTCTGTTTGTTGTTGCGCTATTCACTATGGAATCTATTTAAATTAAAACATTGGCGTAGAAGCCATTTACATGGGCTATTTCAACGTGGTTGAAACATTTACAAATCCGACTAAAAAAGTCTGATACCTGATCCCAATAAAAAAGTGCATTATTTTGTCCATTCAAAAAAATCTGTTGCCGATTTAATTTGCTTATTTTTGAGTCAATTTCCTTTAATTTCTGATTCACTGCAATTTCTAACATTGCCTTTGATTTCTTTCAAATTTATCCCGAAAATCAGCAAATTTCTTAACAATTGTCAGCATGAAATTTGCAGCAGATTGTTGAGCAACTCTGCCGTTTAGACCTTCGAATATAAATAACACGCAAACAAAACATCAAGTTTAAACATGTGACTCTATTAACTATGATTGTTGCTGGGAGCTTTTGGGGCACGCCACTGGAAAATAAACTTCGCAATTATTATTCTTGGAATAAAAACTTCTAATTCAACAGACCCAACCTTCCTAAGCGTCTGAGTTTATTTTTGCTTAATTAAACTCGATAGTTGCGAATTTCAATAAAGTAGGACACATCTTTGTTGTTTTCGAACTACTTAGACTACGTTCAAGTGCGTTGAGTCGGGAAAAAACGTTCGTAAAACTTTTCAGTCGGCCTCGGTTCTAACTCGGTTTATTAGCAAAAGTTCTTCCAGTTTTTCAGCTCGAAGTTCTTTCTTGGACTAGACTCCAGTGCGGCAAAGCATTAATTTCAAAGTGCAAAATAACAAACTAACGACACTGCGAGCAATTAATCGACAACCAGAAAAAATTGCGTTTATCTGACACTAATTTGCGAATTATGCAAGAAGCTTTTCAAGCATAAAACCCCTTATCTGCGATTTCCTACAAAAATCATTCATTTTAACACAAAGAACACACACACCCAGAGAGAAACATCCCGTTAAACCATCATCATTCCACCATATTAATTATCATTTATTTTTTATAATAGAAGAATGAAAATTGCGAGTGCAGATAAGCAAAGCAAGCGAGATCTCTCAAAATAAATAATCATAAAAAAAGAATTCGTCTCGGAATTAGTCAGACAATTAAACAATACATCTATAAATTATACAAATTATCAGACTGCTTGTCTTCACTGGGAAATAAATTAAGTTTCGCCTCCTTAAGCGAGGATTAATTTTTAACTGCTTACTGTATGTGTACATATCTGGGTAATTATCTGATCCTATCAGTGGCGTCACATCGTAAAGGGCAACTGGCCAAAGGAACACTAAGTGCGTGCTTTACAATCTTGCCAGTTTTTTGTTAACAAAGCCACCGTTTCCATTAAAATTTCGAAAAAATAGCTCTCAAAAACTAAACGCAAATTAAAACTTTGGCAAATTTTTCGCACCCCCCTGACCGATCTAGTCTTTGGCGCAAAAGGTTCCATAGCAATCAATTTCATATAAAGTTCCTTTACAGACAGTAACGGACTGTCACCGACACAATCGTGGAAAACCCATTTCCATTAGCAATGGAAACACCTGAACGGCAGAAAGGGAATTAATTAATTCCTTTACAATTACAGGTTTTCGCATCAAAAGGCATTTGATTCAATGGATCGTAAAGTTTGGGTGTCACGGTTTTCTATAAAGTTTCACCAAAATGTGTTCGGGTAATAAAAGGGCCTAAAAATGGAAAATATGAAGTAATTGCTCGGTTTATTTATAGTGATTGAAATAAGTAAATTGACTAGGAAAATATATCCCACGCCAACAACTTAGTCAAATATCCACTAAACTTTTTTCGATGCTTCAGGGCGGCATCAGAATTATTTTTTTGAGAGAGAAAATCAACAGGTCGATGGACCAAAATAGTTTCACCCAACTGGAAAAAATTAAGACTTCGGGCGATTTTCACAAAACATTCATGATTTTTTGGGTCAAAAGTTTTCTAAAGATGGGAGAAATTACAAATTGAAAGACGTGATTTCTTAAACGAAAGAGCGCCGTTTTGTGCAAACTTTTCAATTTGAGACTAATATTCACTAAGCTGTGAACAATTAGGATTCCGGGCGATTTTCACTAAACGATCCGCATCTATACGGCCAAGTATCTACTAGAGATGGTGACTATTTCTGATAGCTATTTATTTTGACTATTTTAGCTTCAAAGATGCGAATTATTAAAGCTGAGAGCGCAAGTGAGTGAAAACATTCATTTTAAAGCCGATGTTTACTAAGCTGCCAAAAATCAAGATTAGGGATGATTTTTATGAAACGTCTGGTTTCTTAATAATTAAGTGCGTTCTAAACATGGTGAAAGTTTTAAAATCCTACCTGTTTTAGTGCTCCTGGAAGTGAATTATTTAAAGAAAGGGCGCAATTGAGTAAAACCATCGTATTTGAGACCGATATTTATTAATCTGGAAAAACTTATAATTTGGAGCGATCATCTTTATGAAACTCTCAGTATATTTTGGGTGAATTGTCGTCTAAAGATCCGAGGCATTTGAAATTGCCGCTAATTTAGTTTCGAATAAACCAATTTTTAAATCAGAGAGCCCATTTGGGTAAATCCCTCCCTTTTGAGACCGATAATTACTAACCTGGCAAAAATCAGGATTCGGGGTGATTTTAATGAAATTTTCAGGATCTTTATAGTTAAGTGAGCTCTAACCATAGTTAAAGGTTTAAAATGCTACTTGCTTCAATTTTCTAGAAGTGAATTTTTAAAATACAGCTCGCAATTGAATAACATCATCTCGTTTAAGACCGATATTTACTAATCTGGCAAAACTCAGAATTTTAAGAGATCTTTGTCAAACTTTCAGCATCTTTCGCTCCGAGTGTCTTCTAACGATAGGAAGCAATTGTTCGTTACGTTAGCTTCGACTATACGAGTTTTTAAATTGAGGGAACGCACTTGGGTTCCTTTTAAGACCGATATTTACCAAGCAAGCAAAATCAGATTTTGGGATGATTTTTATCAAATTTTGAGCTCCTTCGTAGGACTGTGTGACTGCTAAAAAAACCCCAAAAAAAATGTTTCAATGTGGTACTTGCGTTCGTTTCCAATACGCCAATTTTTAACAGATAGCGCGCAATTGAGTGAAAAGTTCTTATTTGAGACCAGCGTTTACTAATCTGTGAATTTAAATTAAAAATTAAATACAAAACTGTGAATTTTGAGCGATCCTTATGAAATTTTCAGTGTCTTTGGAGTCGAGTGTCAAAATATGGTGAAGCTTTTAAATTGCTACTAACTTTAGTTTCGAATATGTGAATTTTTAAAGAAAAAAGCGCAGTTGGAAAAAAACGTCCCCTTTGAAATCGATATTTTTTAATATGGCAAAACTGAGACTTGCACGATTTTTGTTAAACTTTCAGCATCGTTAGACTCAAGTACCGTCTAAAGATCGGGGATATTTCAAATTTCTACTAACTATAGTTTCGAATAAACGGATTTTTCAAATAGAGGGCGCCGTTGGTTAAGAGCGTCCATTATGAGACCCGTATTTATTGTTATACTACTGTTTTTATTATTATTACTATTGTGACTCATATTCACCAAATGTGCAAAACTCAAGTTTCTGTAAAATTTTGAAGTTGGCTAACAATGAGGCAATTTTCAAATCGCTACATACCTTAGTTTTCAAGATACAAACTTTTCAAAAAAAGTGCGCAATTGAGTAGAACCATCCCTTTAATGGGCCAAACTCAAGGTTTTGGCCCATTTTTACAAAACTTTCAGCGTCATTAGAGTCAACTAAAGGGTTTCCTAACAGTCCAGAAAGTTTGAAATTGCTACTTGGGTTAGTTTGGAACATTCGAATTTTTAAAGGTGAGAGCGCATGAAGCTTAAAAAGACAGTCCGAAAGATATACCTACGAAAATTGTTAAAACAGGCCAAAATTCCAGCGAAACCTAAAAAAATTGGCCAAAACTAATTAGCATAAAAAGTAGATCGATACCTGTCGAAGCAATTGTTTCATTGTGGCTGTTAATGCAAGAAGTGATCCGAAACGCCGTTGGGTGCAAAGACTCCCAACCGAGCAGACTTGTGACCTCTTCGCCCGTTCCCATTCTCATTAAGAGAAATAATTAGATAGATTTTAATTGTTTCCAGGGAAATATTGTGCCGATTTCGGTGTTTATGGGCGCGATTAGTTGCAAATAAATGCTAAGACAGCGGGAGAAGTGGTTTTATCGGGCTTGTGCACTCGTAAAGTTCTGGGAGGATTTTAGCGAAGGCGCTAATCAAAAAGGCCAATTCTTTCTGGCTCCAAACAAGCGAAACAACCACACGCCGCCTTAATAGATTAATATTACCGAGCGAAATGCAGATTTGATCCAATACAACCAAAAAAAAAACCATTTAGAGTAAATGTAGGATAAAATCGTTGATTCGCGTGACTAGTGCATAGTGATTCGAACATGAAAGTTAATAAGTTAATTTACATCCTGATTTAGATCTGATATTTCGGCATTAACATTTCTAGTATACACATCCGTATCTTGATAGATGATCGCGCGATTTAGCCGGCAAAATTAATTAAACTTTGTTCATGCAGTTCAGCCGCTGCTTACTAGACAGTCTATCGGAAAGGTAGGCACACATCCAACCCCTCGAAGATGTTCGATAATTCATTTAGAGCAACATAAAAGCTTTGACAGTTGTAATGTGAAGCCATTAGGGAGGAATCTCGATCGGAACAGGCATTGTGACATTTGAACGCGAGGGTTGTGCTTTTGGCAGTCAGTTTGAGTTAATTATTTTGGAAGTGACTCGGATTCACCACTTCGGAGTTTATCAATTGAGAGCTCAGCAAAACCGATGTTTAGACACTGTGGCTGCAGTAATTCAATTGACTGGAATTCCATCAGGACGTAAACTTATTTTCTACTTAGATTGAAGAGTTAAGCAAGAATTTGGGTAGTCAAAGAAAGAGTCGATTAAATTGAATCGTTTGAACAAGTTTTTGGAAAAATGCAGCCTTTTAACAAATGTTCCTGCATGCCAACACGCCAAATTACAAGGTAATTCCTGACAATTTTTTTCATATAATACAGTTCTTTCAGTCCTTGGTTGGTTTCTAATGTTTGTGCATTCCCACCCATTGCAAAATGTCGCAAGTTATTTTTTTCATGAAACAACTGTACGTCTGATCTAAATTATTCGAGAGACAAAAAACTTCCTAGTTAAATCAGCTAGTGACAGATTTTTTTTTATAGAATCGGTTACAAAAATACAGCTTTTCAAGCCTTAGAAGCAACGTGCATTGAGTACAGTTTCTCGCAAAACGAGATCCAAATCAAAACCCACAAATTCCAGGCGGAAAAATCAGGAAATGTTTATCAATACGATTAGAATTTTTTTTCAATTACTAATTAATTTCGGATTATTGACGTTTTCTTGGTGTTTTTGTGTTTTTTACTTTTTCATCTTTTGCAATAATGCGCTGAAAATTTCGCGAGACACAAAAAAGCGCGAAAAAAGGCATCAAGTGAAAAAAAAACAGTTGTTAAAAGGTGTTTGAAAAACGAAGCATTATATTCCCAGAAGACGTTCAAGTGTTGTATTTTCTCGAAGAAAAATATCTCATTTACATCAAAACACGTAAATTTACCAAATAATCCTTAACGGAAAAATTAATCGAAATTCATCTCGTCTATTTCGTTTTATTTGTTTTACTATTTTATAGTTCAGCGAAGTTTCACATGTTTTTACGTTCAAAACTACCAAGTTGGCTCAAAATGTGTAAGAGACAAAAAAGTTTCCAAATAATCCCAGCTAGTGGCGGGAAAACAAAATAATAAGTTTCCATAAAGAGTCAACAAAAATACAATATTTAATGTACAAATCGCGAGCCTCTTCTACATAACTCATTTTCACGTTCTCTTTAATTGCAAGACTTTGTAAAATATTTGTTGGGTAAAAAACTGTTCGTTTGGCTAAAAAACGTCAAGGTAGAAAAAGTTTGGGGGCAAAGCAAGCTAGTGACCGAAAAAATATGAAATAATTTGTACATGATGTTTCAAAAATTCTTTTATTTAAAAATCGTTGGCCGCTTCTGCTTGTCTTTCACATTTTACGCTCAGATCCATTTCAAGACGGCGCAATCTTTTTTGGGTGAAAAACCGTTCATCTGGCTACAATTGTACAAGATGGAAAACAATTTCCAAACAAATCGAGCTAGTGAAACATTTTACAAACCCCGAGCATCAAAGTGGTGGAATGCTTCGTAGCAAATAAGTATTTGAACGTTTTTGTATTATTTGTACATTTCATGTATCTCAAAAAATAGTTTTCCAGATATTTTGTAGTTCATTTTTCATATTTTAGGTTCACCCAACAGAGAATATTTCGGATTTCTCCAAAACTGTCAAAAATGTTGATAAATACTTATTTCATGTCCTAAAAGCTTCAAAATGAGTTAAGCGCTTTTAAAACCCGCTTGAGAAATGTATCCAAAACAATTTTCTAGTTAGTGATAAGACTCGATAATGCACTTTATCAATCAAACAGTTGCACGTCCCTTGAACAGCCCTTCTTTACAAACCCATTCAATTCAAAATTCAACCCCCATCCACACAAGCCGGCAATCGACAAATAAAGAGAAGCCATAACCGGATTTCGACCATCGAAGCGTCGCTAAAATAATATCAGAAATAATATCTGATTCTGTAAAGAAAGATTTTCACGCACCACCGACGATATCGTTTCTGGTTTCACAAAGACCCGAGCCCTTTCTTGGTTCTTGGATTTCCAAATACTTTTTTTCTACTTTTTCGTTTTCTTTTATTGCCCCTTCGACGTATGGACAATATTTTGTGCATTCAAAAGGATCGAATTGTTGTGGCGGAATTTCATATCAACGATTTTATCGCTTGTTTCGTATTTGTTTTTTGTTCTCCTCGAGTTCGGAACTCTGTTTTCTTGATGGGTATTTGCCATATGGCACTTTTTATCCGAAGGTAACGAACGCATGCTGCCAGTACGGAACGCAATTATTAAACTATATATTAATTAACATAATAACAATTCAGCATTAATATAATATGTAGGCTATCGTGTTTCGGAGCAATTACAAGCTCGTAACAAAAATAAGCGCCATCTAAGAAATAAATTGTATTTAGTTTGATATCTAATGTTTGGATCAAAATGCGAGCCAATGAAGCAAGTTACCTAGCCGGAAGTCGCTACTGCTTACGTGTTATTTTTGATAACTCTGGAAACTTATAATTGTGAATTATTACCAACTTTGCGTTCGCTCTGGCCTGGAATAACATTATTTATACGGGGGATTTTGCGATCAAATAATTACTGCTTTAATTGCTCTTGATTAATTACAATTCACTGAAATGCATTAGTTTGCTAGAAAGTTCAGAATGGACTTTGACAATTATGTTGACGTGTTGACTTTGACTTTGACATTGATGTTTTGACAAGAGATATTTTAAAGCAACTACTTCGAATGGGAAAAAATACTCTATTTCTCTTAATCTTAATTTCTCCACTGTATCATTAATATGGAAATATGTATTTTATATTGACAATTTTTAAATAATTATCTACTTTTTTGGTTAATAAATTTAATGTTAACAGAAAGATGTCAAACTGAAACCTGGACAGGAACCATTTTCAAAGCCGTCAATAGTTGTCAATTCGACAGACTTTGAACGACTTGATTTTGACGTTTTTGAAAAACGTCAAAATCTAAAAGTGCCCAAGCATAACCTACTGAGACTGTTCAAGAATTTGGACAATGCCACATTTTACACAGATAGAGGCGGTATCGATATGACTAATGTTTCCATTAAAGTAACATCAAATAAACAGAAAAAATGTTGGAAAATGCCCGTTTGCCTTAAAATGTGTGTTAATCTCCAATTTTCCAAGAAACTTCAATAATTCTGGGTACATATCTGAAGGTTTTATTTATAATTTGGAGTTTGTTTTATTTATAAAATTGTTTTATTTATAAAATGACTGATTTCTCCCATTTTTCGTTGAACTTTTGAATCGATACTTAATAGTTCAGTTGGGCTCGATGGTCTCGATTTGCAAAAATTCATTAATAAAGAATAAACCAGAATAAAACACGGAAAAATAAAAACATCAGACACTAATTTCAAAATGCAACTAGGAATTAATGGCCATCAATGCTGTAGTTGTCTAATAAAAATGCGAATAGTGAATATTCTTCCTGTCGTTAGAAAGCCATTCTTCATCGCCTAATTGGTACATTAATTAATTCCATACGAACTATATAATCCAATGGTAAACAGCCGCCCTCTTCAGAATGGAATAACATGCTTATGTGGTTACGATCACCTTGAGCTCAAGAAAACCTCCGAGATTGATTAAAGCATCATTTCTCATTCCGCTATTTCATCATAACGATTGCATGATTTGCAAACAATACAGCCTGACTGGAGAATATTACTATCCGCAAGCGTTCAGATATTAAGGAAAATTTGATTCATCAATTGGCCCTCGTAATTTTCTGACCACGAATCGGTCAGCGGCGGTAAGTTTAGAAATACGATGTAAATAGCAGAAAAACCAGTTATGGGTTACACGAATCGCATGTTTTGCTCGGGTTGCATGGTTTCCACATTCGAATGAAAAAAAGTTGAAAGTAATGTGTGTAGGACGAAAGTTCGCGTCCTATGTCGCATTGAAATGAAAGGTTATTCGAAATTTCCTTAATGCAGTCAAATGGTTGCGGGTTTCTTTGAGTTTTTCCTCCGTATATTGCGTGCATTATTGTGATGTTTTCCGTGGAAATAAAAATTGCAACTATTTGCTCCAACGGCTGGGGCACAGTTGAAATAATGCCGATCAATTCAAGCACATTATTCTCCGATGCTTGGCAATATTGAACACCACAAAACACTGACAAGATAAAAGTAAATAGCAATTACCTGCATAGAGTGGAATTACATTAATTTTGTTGTATTTATCTCAGATCCATTAATAAAAACATAAACACGACCATTAAATCAAGATCAAACGAGAATCGGCGATTCTCGCAATAAAACCCTCGAATTTTAATCATCGAGCAATGCTAATAACGTTTCTGTTTTGCTTTCATTGACTCGCAGGCGATGACACGTCGTTAACTCGGAATTACGAATCTAATATAAACCAATAAAATCTCGGAAATAATTTAATTATATTTATATTGTGTGTTTTATAACCGACAATAAAAGTCGGCCTTCGGCCAGAGCGCGCATCTTATAAAATTGACGTTTAAACCGCCTTAAGTCCGTTTAATAATATCTTTAATTAACTCTCCTTCCACAGAATGGGACTGCGACCATTTCGCTTCAATTTATCGCTCTATCCACATTATGAGCGTTTTACTGTGTATTTATTTTCTACTAATTAATAAACTAAAATCAGGACAATAATTGTATTGTTTCACTATTATCACTATTGAGTGAAGATTTTTCCAGCTTTTGTGAATGCTGCCCAGATCCAACCCAAAAGAAAACTGTTTCGACTGGGCAGAAATGGATGGAAAAGCAAGTAAGGCAAATAGCAAGAGATGTTCCAAAAGATGACCCAGACGAAGAAAAAATAGGACATATTTAGCGGACAATTTTGACGAAAACCTGTCTTAGTTTTGAATTTAGCTAAGGAGTTCATCAGCCAAACGTATCAAGCAAACGCCTGAAAAAGCAAAAGTCCAAAAAAAAGATATAGAAGGTCTATGGAAATAATCCAGACCACTAAACAAAGATCAACTAAAGGCACATGAAGCGTTAGACAAAAGAAAGGTTGTAAGGAACAAAATAAACGACAAATGCATAGAAAAAGGAAAACGGTATTTAGAACATCATGCAACCCTCCGAATACCTAGAAAAATACAAAACAATACCAAAAGAAACGAACACCTTAGTGCGACAAACGAAAAAACACTAATGGGGGCAATTCTCAAAAAAATTTAAAGGAGACTTTTAAGGAACCCAAAAACGAATATTGTGAACAATACGACAACAACAAAAACAAATATCTGAACTCAACGAAATCAACACCATAAAAAAGAAAGAATGGGAACAAATTTGTTTAAAGAACGTTTCAACCGATTCAAATACACCTCAAATAAGACAAGATATCAGGAAGTAGAAACAGCAATAAATTGCTTATGAAACCGAAAATCACCAAGGCAAGATGAAATACTTAATGAGCTACTAAAATCGGAGAACTACACAAAAATGGTTATTCTAGAAATACAAACAATTATCTTAGGTCTCCATCGACTTTGGGCAGAATATAATTGAAGCCTGGCCTGAAATAGAACACATCAACCTATCTGGATCTAATAAAACTTGTGAATTATTTGGGCAATTTCTGGACCAAATAAGTCGTCGCCTGTCGTCGTAAAACGGCCCTTTGGGGTAGTGTTTATTTTATTGACATAATAACGTTAAAATGGCCATGCTGAGGCTTAACTGAGCATTAGAGCACAAGTGATGCTGTTCACAAAGTGAGTGAGTCAAGCTCAGCTGTTATTAGAACTAGCAGAAACGTGCTAAAATTATAGAAACCACTAAAAAGATAAGGGTGCCATCCGAGGAAAATGATAATTTTCTAATTGGCAAGCTTGAAGACATTGCCCCAATTTTAATTGCTATTTAACAAAACTCTGCAAGGGTAAAAAAATGTAAAAAAGCAAATGGGCGTTTTGCAAGTTGCTCTGATGCTTCGTCAACATTTCCCAGAAACAATTTTAGCGCGAAGATTTCGCCTCGGACAGCCGGGATGGACAGAACGAAGAATAATAAAGCCCGTGGTTGAGCATTTCAGACTCAGTGACACCCGGTAATTAATGCTACAAGAAGAAATCACATTTGTATCACTTTGAACAGTGCGGGGCTTTGAAGACGAAATTCGAGGGGCCACACAAGGTGAATCTTTCTGTGGAGCAACTGAGGTTGAAAGTAGGAGTTCTGGTTTATCTGAGGCACCCAATTCCATTCTAAATGCTGACATTCCGAAATTTATTGTTTTATTCCAGAAACTGCGATTTGGATTATAAAACGAAGCATTCAAATAAAAAGGTCGAGCGAAAAGCTTCATCGGCTCCAATATAACCCGAGCGCATAAACCTAAAAAACTAATTATAATACTACCCATATTTTCCTTGGATTCAACGTTTATGACCGGGCGATAAATTTGTTTCAAGTTGTAAAATCTCGACGATATTAAATTGATCGTTAAAATAATGCAACTTATAACTATCCTTGATAAATTATTCCCCCTAATGATAAACTGGAAAAAGGCCCGAATGGCTTTTTAAGATTGTCGTTTAAGCCGATCATGTTATCTTTCTTCCATTGACAGCCGACATTCAGATGCTCTTTTTCCTTCTTTTTCAGTTCGAGATAAGGTGGGCTTAGACGCCAAAGTGAAAACGTTTCTTTGATTTAATACGCTTTTTTGTTCTAAATGGTGTTAATTCATCTTGATCTAGCTCATATGCTAATCCGGCTAAATAAACTAGTTTATTTTTATCAAGTTCAGTCACTTTTTACGCCAGGTTATAAGCCTATGGATTGTTCAATTATTTTTAAAGCTGTAGGAATTGAACTGTTTATTCAAAATATTGATTTGATTTTTGGTCACAAATTTCAAAAGAGTAGGAGGTCGATATGAGGAAAAATCCACGTCTCTCGAGCCTTAAACCTCAAACTTTAAATCACTGTAATCTCATTAAAAACACGCTAGACTCACCAGATTTGTTGAAATAATCAATATTTTCTGTTCTTTTTGAGTCGTTTTTTTATTTTAAGTGGCCACGATCTTTAACCATTGATATTTTGCTTATTATAGACCCTAAAACCTCTATATTTGTATATTGGGCAACTGCTGAGGTTGGAAGCAATCCAATGAGCGCAAAAACCACGTTTGTGAAACTTTGTTTCTTGATTGAAAGGGTTAGAGTTCGAATTTTTCTAAAAAATACAAGTTTATCAAAATACCTTAAATCCTACTTCATGTTCAGCGGACAGAGGCAAGGAATTCAACGTTTCGTTCAAAAACACACGCGACTTTTCAGATGCGCAATAATCAACATTTTCTGTGCCTTTGAGTCGTTTTTAAACCGCGATAATATTTAACAATTAATATTTTGCTTATTATAGGTCCAAACCCTTTATACATATTTGTATACTTGAGAGCTTCTGAGATCGGAGACAATCCAATGATTACAAAATCACCTTTGTTAAATTTTTATTTTTATTGCAAATTTCACAAGGATGAAATGTCGAATTTTTCAAAAAAATCTAA